ATTTTCTCATAAAACAGGAACAACCAACGCCCGTCAAAGAAAAAATGTTCAGCCGTTCTTTGGAAAAGGAACAGAACTGGCTCTTTTTATATAACCAAATGTGGTGTTTTAGTGACTTTTTGATAATGTACAGTTTTTGTGAATTTAAATTTATTTCTTTCTATATTTTTAGGACCAATCTCATTTTTAATAAGGTTTAAAGGAAAAAAAAATATTCTAGATTAACTCCTGTTTGTTGCCATGTGATGTTCCCACAAGCTGTAGAGAGTGCTTGTCAAGTTGCGAGAATAAAAACAAACCCACGTTTGATAGAGACGGTGTCGTTGGGGAGGTGTTTCAGGTGGGGGCTGGGGGCGGGGAGGAGTGTGACCGGATCCAGCTGGCTTTTGAGCTCCCCAGTGGTGGCTTCATGTCTGGAAGGAATGAGGCAGAAGCAGAGCCCAAGAGAGTTAGGAGCACAATTCCCCCTTGCTGGCCTGAAGCATTTCCATGACAAAACCAGGGCACTGGACCATGGTACTAGCATCGACTAATACGCAGCTGCTGTGTAGCCACGGCTGTTACCTAGACAACATGGTGGCCTAAGTGATTTGGGCACCGGTACGAGAAACCGAACTTGCGCTGCCACTGGTCTTGGCGCCAGCCTGCATCCCTTCTAACTGGCTCGGGGGCCCATGGAGTGGGAGCGTGTGCTGAGTCATGCCTGTGCAGCTGCTTCTGACGCATCTAAACGCGCCTGATCCACTGCTCTCCCTGGGCCGCCCCCTTGCCTGGGAACCGGATGGAGGGGGCCTGCTTGCAGCCAGCTGGCCAGCCCCACCCAATCTGCCAGGCAGCCCTAGAAAGGCCCAGTGCCTGCTGCCCTACCGCCTCCATTTCTCCCCTGGTCCCGAATGAACCTAGCCCTAGCAGGGGGTGAACCTGGGCCTGATTCTGACCATCACTTCCGGCTGCTGCCTGCTATGACACGGGGATGTGTGGTCTTGAGGCCGGCTCCTATCACTGCTGCTTGGCTCCAGCCTCGCTCAGGGTCACAGCCTAGGGCTGGGGGCAGAGGGGCCCCCCTTAACCCCCTCCTCCCGGAGCCTCAATCTGTCCCTGTAGCAGTTGTGCAAAAGAGCCCACTAAAAGCACCAGAGACGACAATTTGCCCCACCTACCCATGATGCTGATTAGGCTTGAGTGTTGCTGATGTTACCTGGCTTAAGGCACTAGGACTCTAGGTGCCTAATATTTGAGAGGGTGTGACCATTAGCAAGTGCTTCAGCCCCTTCCAATTTCTGCTAGGAGTTTAGCACCTCTGGCACAGGGGACTTCTCTGCTTGTTGGGGTTAAGAGCCAGGCTAGCGCTCTATGAACAGATTCCATGATGCTTTTGAGCCCAGTCTGGCTTTTGCCATCCCCTGGCAGTGAGTTCCACAGGTTGTGCATGCTGGGACTAGTGTTGTCGGAAAGCGCCCCTGGCCAGACTGCAGCAGCTCTACCTGCCAGGGCCTTTCGCAGGCAACCACCAAACCACAAAGGAGACGGCTGATTTTTCCCATCTTTTTATTTAAAAACAAAAACTTCCACATGAGACGAGTGGACGTGCCATTGGGGAGGAGGGGGTGTGTGTGGGGGGAGGACAAGCCCGGCTGGAGCACAGAAGCGGGACGAATACAAAACTAGAAACCTCTTGAGATTTTTTTTTTTTTTTAAGAAAAAAAACCCCAAACTTAAAAACCTGTACAAAAATGCTCCTTGGCATAAATTAAAGGGTGCTAATGCCGGGGTGGGGGCAAGATATGGCAGGGCAGAAGCAGCGCGGGTGTGATGGTGAAAGAGGTGGGTGCTTTAGTGTTGTCTTTCTCCAGTAGGGCACCTTCCTCCCCCACCTCCCACCCAGGGGAGGTTCCCCCCAGCCGTGCCCCAGATGAAGCTGCAGAGCCAATTCAAAATGGGCTGCACTGGAGTAGCTACCCCACCCCCCATGGTGCCAGGGGGGCAGTACTGGGGCTCTCAGCGGCTGCAGCTTAAGGTGCAGAGCTACCAAATTCAATGGTGGGGGGAGTAGGTGGCAT